GGAGTTTACGGCGTGATAGCAGGATAAAAACTGTCTGCAGTGGGCCATCAGTGCATTGTATAAAATTTGACATTTTTTCTTTCTGGTGTTTGGTGAGCCTGCTATAAGGCAACAACTTTACATCACATGATGACTGCCTGGATCCAAAGAGATTAGATGAGAATAAAATAATTCAATCTAAGAGACCCGATTGACGACTCGTTAGGTAAAATATCTGAGGGAACCCTCTTCACCATCTAATTATTATCACCACCAAAAGCAAAGGCAGAGCAATAATGCTTTTGCCTGTCTGTAGCAAAATATCTCACGAATCACGGAACAGATTTTAATGAAACTGTCAGAAAGTAATCCTTGGATATACATCTACTGATTAACTTCTAGATTCAAACCAGTTTAAAATGTCTGCCACAACAAACCAACTTAGCAAACACTAAAACTGTTATAACAGATTTCAAGACATTAAGCTAAAATGTGGTGTGGTAGCAGCTGAGACTGATCCCCAAATTGTACTTAATGATCACACAGCGTCTGTGTTTAAAACTTTGCCATTATGCACTACTGAACTAACTAGCTAACTTAACGACACTGTTTGTTAGCAAAATATCCCACAAGCTATTGAACAGAATGTGCAGGCTAAAGCTAATCAGTAACCTAAAATGGCTTCATCTGTGTGGCACAATCTATTTCAGTGTAACCTGTTTTATTGTGAAAGGCTTAACAGGAAGAGTTGATTGTCGGTGGACTTGACAGACTGAGGTTGTGTGGATTTATATAACAAAGGAGTTTGAGTTGCTCTGCAACTTGTCGCTTGAATCTTTTTGCCACAAACACATGGTGTCAGAAGTGGGATTGGCAGGGTTGCCATAAAACCCCAACAACTGGACTTATATAAAAAAGAGGGGTTTAAATGTAAAGAATAGGTTAAGAGAAAAAGTGTTCTGTTATGTTTAAAGATATTAAACAATAAAGATGTAAATGTTCTCTGTTGTTTTCAAAGAAGGGGGTGTGGTTCAATCTGTTTTTTACTGTAGTGTATCCTGTTTTATTGTGAAAGGCTTTACAGGAAATGTTGATTGTCGGTGGGCTCGACAGCCTGAGGTGTAAAAGAATGGTGTGTGTGGATTTATATAATAAAGGAGTTTGAGTTGCTCTACAACGTGTTACTTGAACCTTTATGCCCCAAACACGACAATCTTACAGATACCATACCATGTTATTTATAAAGCACTGGTGTGGTAGTAGCTGACAGTCATTACCAACACATGCTCAGTCTTAGCAGATCATATGCGATCACGTGAAATACTGACTGTATTGCTACATGAGACTCAACATACGATTTTTGTGTCAAATGAACAAAAAAGGTGGTGGGAAATTTGTTGGCTTGTGAGGCCTTTAATTGAAGCATTAAGTTTTCTGAGGCTCCTCTTCAGTGACTCTGCTGCTTCGAGTCCCTGCAGGTAGTTCAGATTGACAGCTCCTGAGCCACATGCTGGCAGGACAGCACTGCAGTCATATTTGTCCCCTATTCATCTCTCAGACATAATCCTTACCCAGGCTGAGCCTTTTCCATTACTCATTTTAGTTCCTCCAGTGTTTACACAAGGCATGTATCAGTTTCTCCTTCTCCTGATGCTTTAACCTAAAATGTGACGCTGTATACTCTGCAAGTGTGTTTTAACATGTTCCGAGGATTCTTCTTTCCCAGCCGGGCTGCTGGGGCTCAAGAGCTGAAGTGACAAAGGCCCCGTGAATGTCTGACTCACAGACAACTGTCAGAGCTCAATGGGCTGGATTAAGATGGAGCGGAGACCGGAGCGCACCCTGACATGTTGACATGTTCTACTAAGTGCATTTCAAGGTGGATTTAACTTGTTTGCTCCATTGTGGAGCGACACAACAGACAGAACTGCTAAATGGGGGCCAACCGTTCTGGAGGCAGCGGGTGAACTTTACTCCCACTGTCTGCAGAGGGACTCTCACCGCGGCTTCGTTCTCAGGGTGAGTGGGGCTGCTGTGGATCTCGAGGAGGTTCAGGGGTTTCGGAGAGCTCTCTCCTTAACCAAACAAACATGGTGGAATTTGTGCTATTGTTGGAGCAGAGGGCTGAGTGACAGGGCTGCAGAGCAGGGCTGGCTGTCAGAGGAGACACCTCAGGGTCAAAGTGGGACCATCCATTCACACACGGCTTCATATTAAAACGTTCACACACACACACACACACACACACAGTGCTGCGCGTCGACTGGGGCCAACGTCCTGCAACATTTACACAAGTCTGTCAATTAAACATTTCTGTGCATGAAAAATATATATTTTAACATATTTGAAGCAATTAAAATATATATATGTTCAAGCCTCAATAAAACACATCCTGTATGTGTAAACAAAATAATGTTACGAGGAGATATTTAAACCATATATATTTTCAGACAATCATTTTGCACCAACTTTATTTATGCACCAACATAAATCCATCTGTAGAACATCACATTCATCAGAACCCACAGAACATCATGAGATCTGATGCACGGTCGTAAATAATTTATTTTGTGGTGAACGGTGCAAACAAACTGAAAAGAAAAGGAAATCCACTTGACTGGATCAGTTAAAATAAATTAATTATAAAATAATATTAAATAAAAAAAAACCTCTGAAACATTTTTATCATGAATGTTTTTATCTGTGGGAGGAAAGTGAAGTATGTGGGGGAAAGGGGGAACACGCAAACTCCACACAGAAAGACCCAACTGGGAGTCAGAAACCTTCTTGCTGCTGTTTTACCACACAGCTCATAATTATCTAGACCTGGAAAATATATAAATATATATTTTTACTTTTCCAAACATTTTAACGCTGTAGCTGCGCGGTAATCATCAGAAATACTAACAAAAATCACAAACACTCAGTTGTAGACAGCATTAGGCTAATGGCTAAATTTTAATTAAATATTTAACTTATGAATTTAATTTTAATCAGTCCGAAGGAAAATTATTAGTCAAATTTTCTTTATCTTTTCTAATTTATTCCTTATTTTGGATTCAGTTTTTTTTTGGTTCTGTACAAACGTGAACAGCTTTATCTGACTTACAGCTCTTCAGTGATTTAATAAGAACGCTGAGGACAGTGTGTCGTACGAGTTCTTTAATGAAGACGTTTTTAATCTGAATATAAATTACATTTCACAGAGCTCTGATGAAATATAACTCTGCTCCGTCCCTGAAGTCTGTGGCCAGGTGACATCAGGCCTGCACTCCCCAGCTTTGGGTTTTAGCGCAGGTCATCATTAGCTGGCCGACGTGAAAGCTGAGCCCTGACCCCCCCTCGCTGTGGAGCACAGCTGAGGCTGGCGGGTCAAATCTTCCTCAGACAGTGAGCCCCCAACAATGAACAGCAATCCCACAAGTTCCCTACATATTTGATACAACATATAAAAGTGTTGTGTGTGTGCGCGTGTGTTACACTCGGTGATAAATCACAGACACGGAGACCAAACACAAGAGAGGGGGTAAAAAGCAAACAGCCGCTCCGGCCCTCCGAGGCCCCCGCTGTGCCGCTCCGCAGCATATGAGCCCTCTGTGCTCCAAGTGATAGAGTCAAGCTGTTCCTGCTGAGCGGAGGTCAGGGTTCTTCAGTCAGCACCTCGGCCCTGAACGGAGCACACAGGAATCCCTGCCCTCCCCCTTTCCCTCCCCAACCGGGGCTGGCACTCAGCCCCTCTCTCCTCAGGCCCAAATAAACCTGGTAGCGCTCGCTCTTTTTCATCTCTCCATCTCATGGCGCTCTGTCACTCCCCTCATCAGAATCATTAATCAGGGCGGGCAGATTAGACTTCAAATAAAAATAAACGGGGCCTGGCAGCCTGCTCGCAGGTTCTTCACTTTCTGCTCTTCACTGACTTAATAAAGCCAAGATGTCCCACGCAGGCGGCAGGTTGAACACGTGAGCACTTTTGGCAAACTGTGAGGTCCATTAATGCTTTATTGATATAAACAACTCACCTTATCTTCAAGTGTGATGACTCTTGAGGGCTAACCTGCCATCCATGTAAATACACAACAGATAACCTTATCGGTTGGCACCGACGAAGACAGTCTTCATCCTGAAGCACGTACCGTTAATGCGGATTAAAGGGATTAAATGTGCAACCTGAATGCATCCAGCTTTATGTTTTATACAGTGACTGCCTCGTCCTGTCTTTCAATTTGGACACAGAGGAAAATGTGAGAAATGGAGGACAACAGCGCCGCCTTTGGGTGAAGCCGAGTACTACAACTGGAATAAATCAGCGTCATCATGAAACAGTTCTGAGAGTCTGGGATGTGGCAGTCGTACAACTTTGGACAGCTCTTATTTGTAGGTGTTTCCATGCATGTGAATGGAGGGGGGGGGGGGGATGAGAAGGTCTGCTGGACTCTGCCAGGCTCCAAACAAGCTGTGGGGCTCCGCAGGTGAGGCCTGTTCTGGCTGACTGACGCGAGCCCTGCTGAATATTTGTGTCCATGGGAAATGGGGCGGTGTCGCTGCGGCGACGGCCCTGGGGCCATCCATCAGTGTCATGGTGGGGAGGGGTGTATGGTATGTGTCACCTCTAAGACTAATGGACAGGAAGTACAGCCAGAGAAACAACAATATTTGCAGAATGTATATTCAAAAGGACGCTCGGACCCGGTCTGAGTTTCTCGTGCGAGTTTCTCAAAATCTAAACGTGACTGAATCTTAAAACGATGAGAACGTTTGTTTAAGAGACGCTCGCTCTGAGCTGGGGCTCTCGTTCAGCTGCTGCACGCTTTCTGAGATCCACACGTGGGACAGTGCTCCTGGTTATCACCTGGCAGGTCTGTGATGAGCAGGATTATTGCAACATGTTGAGCGAATAATCCCAGTAAGATCAATGAAACTGGGAGTGATCTGGAACCATTTAAAATGGAGAGATACAAGGAGAGGGGCCAGAGGAACCCATGCTAACAGCTGACCCTGTGTGCTCACCGTGTTCAGAAACCGAAGTGTTTAACCTCAGCAGCCGGTGACTGTGGGCTCTAAACCAGAGCGCTTTGTGATGTGGACCTTCACCACCTCCTCAGCGCAGGTCGGGTGGATTCCTACAGTCTGCAGCAGCTGATGATAAGTGGCTCCACACCTGAGAGACACAACATACGGCTGTTAACCACAGACGCTTCATCAGCAGTGTAGCTCATTTAAATCTCTTCAAGTTGCATGTGTCATTGCAATGATTTTCTACAGAATAGTTGAGTCCACTGAAGAGAAGAAGTGGAAAAGCTGCAGAGAGTGATCAAATATTTAGCTGATGTTGAGATCTGTGACTCAGAAAAAACTCCCTCACTGCAAAGATTTGGAGTCGAACACAACAAGAGCTGACAACCAAAACCTGACAACATGGGTTTACTAAGAGTTGTTATGGTTGGAAAACGTCAAAACGAGTGAGTTCATCATGATCGCTGCTTTAAAAAACACGATGCAGACAGTGATTACTTCCTGAGAGTTTTACAATAAATTTAGTCCAGAGCTTTATGAGATATTTTGCTTAAAAAACAGAACAGCGTGCACACGTTATGACAGTTTGCCTTCAGCTGCAGGTGATAATAAACACAGGCATTAGTGATTCCTGCTGTTTAAACCTACTGTAAGCCCAGAGAGAAGCCCTGCATGACTTCTCCAGCGTTTGGACCAGTAAGGTGCAGACCCAAGATCTTCTGATCGCCACCTCGCTCACATATCACCTGAAGAAATAAAAATAAATACGTGAAAAAAATACAATAAATATATCGGCTACAGAGCAGCAGCTGAAGCTGTACGCCACCGTTAACAAAATTAAAGCTAAAACAAACTAGAGAAACTGCATTTCCTGCAAAAATGCAGTGTGAATGCTTATTGCTAAAGAACTTAATGAAAAACAGCTGAAATTAGCTAAAAACAGGCTGAAATGAAAGAACAAGGTTAAAGAAAAGAATGAAGAAAGAACACATGTTTACTGAATTAAGTTTAAACAGAAATAAGAAAAAAATTAAGAAATTAGCTAAAAAAAAAGGCTGAAATTAGCTAAAATCACTGAAAGGTAGCTGAAAAAAGAAAGAAGCTTAAACTAGTGGAAAAAACTGAAATGAGCATCAAAAATGTAAAATTAGCTTAAAAAGCTAAAATTAGCATAAAGCAGCTAAATAGTAGGTAAAATAGCAGAAAAGGCTAGAACTAGCAGAAAAAGGCTGAAAGGAGCATAACAAGCTGAAATTAGCCGAAAGAAGTAAATTAGGCTGAAAGTAGCAGGAATGACCATGAAAAACTTGACTTTATTTGAAAACAGCTGAAATTAGCTAAAAATGCTTAAAAAAAGTAGTTGCAAAGGTAGAACAAGCTTAAATTAGCATAACAAGGCAGAAAGAACACGTTTGCTGAAAGAAGCAGAAATGAGCACAAAAAAGCTGAAATTAGCAACAACAACAACAACAACAACTGAAAAGTTGCTAAAAAAGCAAAAAGATCACCAGAAAGAAGTGGAGAGAGCACATTTTGCTGAATTAGGCTGAAAAAAGTTGAAATGGGTGCAACAAATGTGGAATTAGCTGAAAAAGTTAAAATTGGCAAAAAAAAAACCCCAGCTAAATAGTAGCTGAAATAAAGAAAAAGCTGAAACACACATAAATAAGCTGAAAGGAGCATAACAAGCTCAAATTAGCAGAAAGAAGTTACAAGAAGCACAAAAATGTTGCAGTTAGCAGAAAGAATCTAAAAGGAGCACAAAACAGCTGAAAAAACAACTGAATTTAGCTGAAAGTAGCTGAAAAAAAGTTTAAATTTGCAGAAGGAAGCTGAAAGAAGCTGAAGTAGAACAAAATGTGAAAGAAACAGTAAAAGGTTGTAAACAGATCTAAAGATCTGAAGGATGTAAAATGAGCTCAATTCATTTTCTATGAGAAAAAAATGGCAGAAAAGTCTAAATATTTCAAAAAGCTGAAGTTGCATCAATACCAAAAGTCATACATAGCAGGATTGTCCAGAAATAGCTGAACATTTTGATTTGTTGAAATAGCTTGAAAACTGTGGGACGAGAATCATGCAGAAAATCGTACAGAAGAAAAACGGATCAGTCTGATCTGCCTCAAGTGCTTAACTTAGAGCACATCTGGATAAACAAATATAAAAACATAAACCGTCCCACTTTGACCAGACTGAAATGACAAACTGTTGCTGCAGTCACCTTTATGTAGCACTGGCTGGCATCACGCTCTGCTACAGTGAATTCTAGAGGCCTGTAGAAAGCATGGTACACCTGCACATAGGAACACAAACATCAGACTCACAGCGACAAAATATTAAAGGACAGCAACAATAAATCAGATCTTCACATGAGAACATCCTCTTTTCGTTAACTAGAGTTAAATGAAGTGTAAACAGAACGCTGCACTCACATCTGTACACTTCTGTATTGAGGATGAGCCTAAAACGGTTTTTTAAACCAGAATAAAGAGTGGGTTGATGTAAAATAGTCATTTTAAAGAATTGAAACTGCATTTTAAATAAGGAATTAGTGCCCAAGACATTTCTTTACAGAATTAAATGAAATCTGAAGATACAAAACAAACCCCTCCCATCTAAACATTTATTATTACAACACACAAATAGTTCAGTGAGCGCTTCGGTCCTCCCTGAGACGTGCGAGCAGAGTTTTATTGTACGAGTGAACGTGCCGACACAAGTAGAGGGCCACGCAGCTGTCGGGGGGGTGGGGGAGGGGGGGTCCGGCAGCTCCTCCTCAGATCTCAGCGAGCCTGTCATCACCTCATACACACCTCAATCAGACCTCCTGCTCGCCTGTCACTCAGGCAGGAGCCCCCGCTCGCCAGCTCCGCCATCTACCCACAGTCTCCTGCAGGTGTTGTGAGCATCTGGCAGGCCGAGCACGTCCACGAGCACGACAAATAAAGAGCCACTCGCTATTCCTCTGAATATGTGTCCATGTTTGTATAGCTGTTGTCGAGTGTTGTATCTTTTATTCTGCAGGTCGGTGTCAGTATCTGACTGCAGACAGTTACAAACCAATACAGCTTTATTATGTTTAATTACTGACGGAGCAATGGATTAAATGTTTAATTACTGAAGGATCGATGGATTAAATGTTTAATTACTGATGGATCGATGGATTAAATGTTTAATTACTGAAGGATAGATGGATTAAATGTTTAATTACTGATGGATCGATGGATTAAATGTTTAATTACTGAAGGATAGATGGATTAAATGTTTAATTACTGAAGGATAGATGCATTAAATGTTT